CAACTGCATGAAATGCGTGACTGAGGTCAGCAAGGAAAAGCTTGCTCTTGACATCCTTGCTGGTTGTTGGTAGATAAGGTAGGAATGGATCTCTTTAGTAGCCCCTATGTCATCCCAAATAACGTGATCGTTTTCACTCCCTTCCATGCCTTCATTCCCTCCTGACAACCAGCAGGTCTTGGCATGTCAACCATGACTGCGCCGTAGGGAGGGTTTTCAAGACTCCCAGTGAAGCCATGGTGCTTAATTCATCTGAGCAGCTTCGATTTTGGCAGGTAATGACCCATTAGAAGCATCTCTGCATCGGACATATACGGAAAGACTGGAATTGCAGAAGAACGGACATCCTCCACATTGGAACCCCCATCACGCGAAATCCTTCCATGGCCCTTACAGATCAAGCGACAGGCTTTTGCGACTAGGACTGGTGAGGAAGAAGGAAAAGTAGCAGCGGCGTCGGAGGCGGCCCCGCCATCAGGATAAGCCGAGCGTAACGCCAAGCAATTACATTCCACAGCAATGCAAGGGTTGGAACAACAGCACATTACAGTAGAACCAACATAGTAGTTGAGCATCGCAAGTTCACGTATCGCAAGAACTCAAATTGTGGTGTCAGAAGGGCTGAGCTAACCGCCATTGTCAATCTACCTAGCAGCTGAAAAGCAGGAAGCAAGGCGCTCAGATTATTGCGTTGGCCGTACTAAGGAGCAGCACACTTTGCTAGCTCACAGACAGTGAAGGCATGTCCTGCCACGGGAAAGTTCTGGGACAGCACCCCTCAACCAAGCCTTGAGACAACCAGCTGTGCACTTATGAGCCCTGGTACTGTCAGCATTTGCTAGCTCACCCATTGTTTTTGGCTGAACTTTGGCCTTCTGCTGCTTGATGCTGCTTGCATGCGAACGAACCGTGCGATCTTAGTCATGGGCATGTGCCCCTGGCAGCAGCGGCAGCAGCAGCATTATGCAGGGTTCATGCGGAGAGTTGCTTGCACGTTGGGACAACCGTGAGGTCAAGCGCAAACTAGGTTCACTTCTAGACAGATTGATTACAAGACACTTGTGCAAGCCAGAAGGACACTCAATTGAGGTTACGAACATGGCTCTGGCATGAACACATTCCTACCTAGAAAACCTTCAGGCGCCTGCGACAAAAAGTCCTGCAACATGCTGTACAGAGATCTGTCCATTCCGGGGTTCCCTTTTCTTGTACCATGTGAGTCTTCTCTGTAAGAACCCCCCCAGAGAGGAAGCTAATCGAAATCGCGGTAGACTTTGATGGAAATTGGTAGCTGGCATCCTGGCGTTGCTATTACATGACTACCTTCCAGCACTATACGTACTGTTGAGTCTCGACACTCAAGGGGGACAGACTCCTTAACGCCCTTGTACCAGGACATCCCTGTCCTGCATGAGGCCCAGAAGTGCATATCAACGGTGTTATCTCGTCTGCAAGAAACATCTACGAAACGAGCTATCACGGAGCAACTGCGATATCACTCCTAAGCGATGTTTCTTGTGAGGAACTTGCCAGGAGCGAAAGCCGGAGAGACCACAAAATGGGGGACTTCACAAGTGGTTCAACAAATGCTGACTTTTCACCACTGACTATCAAACAACCATCAGTGAGTTATGACTATTAGAATCTTTGGCGATGGAGCTTCAAACAATGCAGGGCCCAAAAACGGCTTACACAAGATGGGGAAACCTTTCACTGGCAAGCTTGCCTTATACAGCTCCCCTAGCTTGATAACTCCCACAGCGTCAGCCTTAGCGCTCGTACCGTTTGTACATGTGTGTACCCCCAGGTACTCACTTCGGCCCCAATAGGTTGATTTCTCAAAGAGGCCCTTACCGGTTTCAGGAGTATAGAGGAACTACACAGGCATCATAAAAATCATAGGAGCTATAATCTAGACTCCTAGTATCCCCCTCATAAGCCCTATAGAATTCCCATATATAGTCGCCTATGGAACCCCTTTGAAGGAGTTCAGACTATAGCTCGATTGTCTTCAGCATCTCCCTGTCTCTAATGTCCGAGGGTTTTGAGGGCATGCCGATGAGCAATCCTCCGCGCGATGCTACCGCAACTCATGAACCTAAATTCTAATTCAAATCTCTGCTACCTGGGACCCGAGACCTAATCTTCATCCTCTCATCCCTGAACCTGAAATCGTAACTCAAAGCACCTTTGTCACTCGGAGTCCTCTAGAAGGGGTCAAACAATGCCATGCAAGATGCTTTCAGCAGACACCTGCGCACGAACACGTTTTCGTTTAACCGGTTCTGGTTTAGGGGTATTCTCCCTTACAGGCTGTTCTACACATGCACGGGCCTTGAGTTTAGGAGGGTGTTGTGTACGTACATACCAAGGAATTTACATAAATGGAAACCATCTTCCTCGGCTGCAGTCTCGAAATCGAAAGCGCCTTTCAAATTCATCATGTGCAGCGTGGAAGGGCAATGGGCGGGAAACTACCAACAACAGAAACCTGGGTTGCTGTTAAAGAACTTAAGCTAAGTTACCATTATGGATAGATAGTAAAAACCATGGCCTTTCCTTTTCATACTAGTGACTTAAGTTAAGTTCCTTCAGAGCAACCCAGAAACTTGCAAAGCCAGGACTTAATACACAAACCATTCACCTCGGAAGTCTGCACAGACTTCCCCTCCAAAGTCTCGCTAGGGGTTGTCGAGACTGTCCAAGCCCATCCCTCCAGCAGATGCCCCTTGGCTGCCAAGCCTAGACATGGCTCGTTTAGAAAAAAACGGGTCATATGCATGGTCCCAAGAGACCTCTTAACATGAACAACAGCTTGGATACCTCATGCAAAAAAAGTGCGCCCCAGTTTACTCTTGCATGCTATGGGGACTTCAGTCCATACGCTCCAATCCATCCGTACCCGAGGGGTGCCTGAGGCTGAAGAATAGACAAATCGAAAGGCCAAAATCGCCTGCGGACAATTTGTAGGCAGAACTCTCGCTAACTGCCCCTAATCCTGAAGTCTAAGCCCTGATACCGCCTTAATGCGATCCTGCCCGTTGCCGTCCAACAGTGCTCCGTCACCCTCAAAACTCGCTTTCCTGAGAAGTGATAGAATGGACTTTCCACAAGGTGGCATGTGATCGAAGAACCACTTGACGAGAAACCAGAAACCATGGGCTGGCTTCATCTTTAGGGTCTGGGGTCTGTTGGTTTGGGGACACCAGTGGATTTTCACGAGATTTGAGATGGCTTTCAAGTAGATGTTAAACTGGTCTGAATCCGTTTCTATTGGCCTCAACTAGCCTCTAGTACATTTTGAATCGATTTCAATGACATTTGTTTTCTTGCAATTAAATGTTGCTTGATGCTCTCATAGCATCAGTTTAGAACCTATCTACTTACAATCAAGTAGAAACCTAGTCAACATCACTTGAAAGCTCAATAGGATTCATGCAACATCTAATTTAAAAGCCAAGTGCAACCTCATGAACATTCATGATTATTTTGTGGAGAGCAGTCAGGATGCAATTAATCTCAACTAACCTCTCATGAACATCAAGGCAAAATCTACTTGACAACATTTTGTTAGAAACAAAAAGGGGAATACAGGAGATCTGTAATTTCAATTCGATTTCCGGGTTGATCGCTAGGCATCGCTAGGCAATAGCCAGTCAAGCTAGAGCCTGAGATAGCCGAAGCACAGCAAAACGTCTTTTAGTTTGAAGTTGCACAGCTAGAGAGCATGCTAGGACGCCAGCACACCAGGTTCCGATTCCTGATTGCAGAGTAATCTCTCCTCATCACTCATCATGCAGGGCTGGGTATGGCCATATAAATCCAAGCTGCGCGCCGCCGAAAAGCGAAATGCCGAATGTCTCATTCTGGGTAATGGTGGTGTTGTGGATTCGGCATGTATCTGCAGACACCTTGAGAGTTTTCAGCAGGAATCCCACCCCCTCATTCTCGTATCAGTTGGCTCCCTCACTGTATGCCTCTCAGCAATAGCTTAGACCTTTGCGTCAGTCCCGTTTGCGGGCAAGCAGCGTTTTGTCCTCCGATAGCCTCGGCTCGGTCCCAAAAAAAGGGCCCCCCAATGAGATGCAGCCACTTGCAACACAGTTAGCGGGCACCTCAATAGAATTACAGCATCACATAGATAAGTACTTTTATTATCGATCCTTGGCCTCCAACACCCACACTGTTGTGGCAACTGACACTAGTTCATATGCTGTGTCCGTTTATGAGTCGCACCGCTGGAGCTTTGGGGTAGCGACTCCATTAGCAAGAGACTCTCAAGACCTGCTTGAACCAGACTAAGCAACCACTCCCAGGTTCAAGTTGTTGGAGATGACGCAATCGTCAATGAAGCAGCTGCCTGCATTGTCAGAGATGACCTTGCAGGATATGAAGGAGCTCAAACTCTACTGAAGATCAGTACGGGCTTTGTTCAGGAAGACCCGAAAAGAGCAGTGACAAAAGTCGCAAGTGAAAAGATGCATTCTTCCAGTACGGAACGTGCAACAACCTCTGGACACGCTATTCTTGTAACATGCTGCACAAGCTTCTCATAAATGGCAGATGGAGCTAAATAGAAGAGTGCACTTATGAAGCCTACACAGAAGTCCATGACAGTGATCGCAACTCACCGATCAAACGCATAAACTGAATAGCAACGGAAACCCTATTAAAACCGACAGTCATTATTCACAGAAAAGACCAAACTAATTCAGAGCTGGGGGCTCCCTACCAAAAGTGATTTCTGGAAGCATGAGTGGAGTTCTACCGGTAGAAACAAAATCCAAGAAACAAAGCTCATGCTCAAAATTGTTCACCTGTATCCAAACAGCACTTACCTTACCGCAACTTGCTAGTGGTATGTGGGGATGAAGGGAATATAATCTCTATATAACACCAATAAAATGTATCCGTTCTTCCCTATTAACCTCCGGTAAGCTACTGTTAAAGATTCCCTATACCCTAAACCCTACGTTTACTGTAAGCAAGATCCAGGGAGCCACTGCGCTGCTTCCACAATCCCGGACGAAGCACTTGGTCATCTGCAGCTTAGCGTGATGTGTCAAGTAGATTCCTTAGACTTACTGGGAGTTTGCACAGAATAATGGATCATGTTCCCTTGTATACAGGGCCTTTGGATTGCCAAATTAGATTGACAACCTGGCCAAACCTGCGGTTTGAGTAGGGATGCTTTTCATCTTCAGATGCTTCTCGGCTTTTTTCTTTAAGGGTCCATCATACGCAACCATAGACTTTGGGATGCTTGTACAATGAATCATTTGTAGACTTTCAAAAGTATATGACAAACATACCTGGACCCATAACCGCAACAGTTGTGAAGCCTTCCAACCACAAATTTGCTCAGAGGCTGTGGTCCTGTGTCAGAAGTCAGAAGCAGCCCCAGCTGTCTACAGACCTAATGTCTTCAGGCTTTAAGAGGAATGCAAGAGCAAATGGAAACTACTATATTATGAGGGTATATGGGGATGTATGGGGATGCACAAGAATATTCCTCCCCATCATGGAGGATCACATGGAAAAGAAGATGGCCGTAAACGGGAAATTGAAGTCTACATAGGGGTTGCATACATTACGTCTGATTATGAAGGAACGGAAAAGAACATGGAACCTACTATGAGCGAGACCCAAAGGGAAGATGACATGGATACTGGGTCCATAGAGAGGTTTATACGGACCATCCTGTCTGACTACCAATTTCATGTTGAGGTCTATTTGGGGTACCCTGTACTTTAAGCCTACAAGGAAAGAACACCCATAACCTGTGTAATCATTTAGTCAGGCAATTACAACAGCCGACAACGTTGGTACAGAAAGGAATTTCCACAGCTTGAGAAGCATTTTTTGAATCGCGTTCCCTCCTTACTGTCATTGTTCATGTAGGTCCAAATCTTATAAAATGCGGTTCTGGGGCACCCGGAGTTCCCATTCAGGACTGTAGGGCGTTTCCAAAAAAATCCCGTACAGGCGGCCCTATTTCAAGGACAAAAAAAGCACCATCCCGGTCTGCGTCGAGGCTCCATTGCCACGCCCAGAAATGTCGCAGTTGACGATGGTCCTAGGATAAGACCAAGGTTGACTTATGACTTATGGTTGTCGCCTGATACATCTCTGGAATGGACACAGGAAAATGTCATGCTGAACACCACGCAGATTTAGAACTACAAGCAAACCTTTCGATAATGGGCACAGGGTCTGCCCAGTTAGCCGGTCAGAGATGCAGTTTCCAAGGCTTTAGAGATTTGAGACTTTGTCTTTGCGGTAGTCATGGCGGGATGCAGGCAAAACTTCAGTGACCAACCGGATCATGTAACTGTCCGTTCACCCTCATTTCTCTTTGTGACGCTGCGATGGATAGCCCAGGCTCACGTTGGCACCATCCCGAATATCAAGCGCACGGTCTCCATGAACTGTGCCGTAAATCTGAAGTCCATACAACTCCACCTGAGCAATCGTGGATGTTGGGTCTGGGCGACCAAGGAGCTACATTGAAAAAAAAACAGGTAGTCTCTCGAGCTTGACAGAGGCAAGCAAAGTTGATTTCCATCGTTTCTTGTCACTGCTTGAGAAACTGAATAGGTTTCCTTTGGTGAGCAACTTGTCTTGCTCTCAATGTGCTTGATCACCTTTGATGTTGAAAACTCATCCCAAGAAGCCCCGGTGGGTCAACGTCACCCCTGTGCAGGAGATGCCCTTTCTGATTGATCCTCATTACAGGGCTTCATGCCCATCACGCCGTTTGAATGCGGCCATTAACGGGCTATCAAGCATGCAACTTCTGGCACATCCCCACTTGGGTCTAGAAGCCCAGAGAACACCTTGGAGTCGACCGCGCAACCGGCACGGAAGCGCTACAGAGATAGATCCGCACTCTTAAGGTTTCTAGAGGGCCTTTGCTGTTGGGTGGCTCCCTTGCTGTCCACCCAAACATGAATATGATGACTGCCTTCATGATGGCCATATGAGTTGCTCGTAATACCGGCACAATCATCTTAGTGTCTCTTCGATGTTTCTACGGTGACCGGTTCTGGCATTGATACGAGTAGTGGCCGTCAGCATAGTGATGGTAGCGGCGGTGGTGAAAATCATTATCATCAGGGTAGTTGCACAAGCAGAAGTTTGTAGAGGTGGTTCCCACAGCAACTGCGGTCGCTCTGGCAATGGGCGACGGTCGTCGTCGCCGCCGCCACCGCCCCCGTCGCCGTTGTGGTCGTAGTCGTGGTTGTGGTAGTCGTAGTGGTCGTGGTGGTCGTCGTCGTGGTCGTGGTGGTCGTCGTCGTGGTCGTCGTCGTCGTCAGCGTCGTGGCTGCTGCTGGTTACTGTTGTTGTTACGGCTGTTGTTTTTGCTGCAGCCACAGCCACAGCCGCAGCCGCAGCCGCGGCAGCAGCCGCAGCCGCAGCAGCAGCAGCAGCAGCAGCAGCAGCAGCAGCAGCAGCAGCAGCCGCAGCCGCAGCCGCAGCCGCAGCAGCAGCAGCAGCAGCAGCAGCAGCAGCAGCAACACTAGCAGCAGTAGCAGTAGCAGAACTCCTCAAAAACCTTGCACTCATGGAGCGTAACCTGGACGAATGAAGCAAGTATACATTAGATCAGAACTCCTCACCCACACCCTCACCTTGTCAATGCTAAGCAGCTCTTCATTATAAAAAAGAAAAAGACACCCACCCCCCCTCCCCCCTCCAGAGATTTCGAAATAACAACGCGAAACCATTGAACGATCACCCTCAAGCAGAGAAGTCAGATATGCACCGTTCCGGTGGTTGTAGTCGTCGTTGTCGGCGGCGGCGCACGTTTTTTAGTAGTAGTAGTAGTAGT